CTGATGGCAACATCGGGTTTTCTCTGCCCAGTCTGATAGAGTGGGACAGCATACTAGACAACACAGATTCCTATGAGAAAAGCTTCATCATACTATCCCTATTGCTATTTGATCCAGATGCTGCACCTATTAGGATGACACACCATGTGAACATACAAAATCTGTTGTCAACTTAGTGACCCAACACTATGCCCTTGGCACTCACTAGAATTTGACCTTGGGCAGGAAAAATCTGTGTAGGCAAAATTCACAAGCTTGACAATGTGCATGCCTACAAAACAATGGTGCTAGAAAATGGCTGGATTTCCTACTTCCAACCATGTAACAACTATCATGCATCTCTGAGACCACCATTCACCCTCAAGTGACCTCCGTAAGACAGAACTGGCATCTCTGAGCATCTAAAAGTACTTCATTCAAAGTATTACAAGTAGTCCTCATTTAGCAACCATAACTGGGACCAGCAGCTCTGTCATTAAGCAAAGTGGTCACTAAATGGGAAATCTTGTGACCATGACTGTGCTTTCCTTTTCCCCACTCCCCCACCCTTTGGAATGCTCACCCTGCCTGTGCTGGGATAGCTGGCTTGAAACTGACAAGGTCAATCAATTTCACACCTTGGCTTTTATTTGCCTCCTAACCACTCCCCAGCCCTTTGGAATGGTCATCTCTGTGCTGGGATAATTATCAAGAAGGGAATTAATGTTTGTATTTACATTCTTTGGAGGGGCAGGGATTATAAGAAAGTAGGCAGGCACACAATGGGGAATACCCATTGAAAGGAATGTGCTGGTGCCAGCACACTATGCAAACAGCCCAGTGTATTCCCCATTTTGTGCCTGGTTACTCTATTGTAATCCCTTCCTCTCCAATCTCTCCGCTTTACAATACTTGAGTATTGTAAAGTAAATTGATATCTCTAGTTTGTCCTTCATATAAAACAATAAACTTGTTGGGTGATTGTAAGATAGGAGTGGAATACATTCTCATGAAACAGATGATCAATGCCAAATACATTGCTTTAGTGCTTAGCATGATGTCTAAATCCTGTCATTGGGTGAATACCTTTGAAAACAGTTGTTACATGATAGCTATGTTATGTAATGCCACCATGATGCAAAAATCTTTCATACACTCTCTTATTTGGTGGCTGTAAGTAAGAAACTCAACCAATCAGAAAAGTCAAATCTGAACACCTATCTGCAATGCAGTGCAGGGAAAAAAGTATCAATGGCAGGTCTAGATTTTTAGTATAAGTTAATTATTTTACTGGGCAATGAATCTACATTCCTTGGCTAATTTGCCTTATAAGATTTAATAAATACGCCAACACCTTTACTAGCATATGCACCTCACAGATTATCTGGGCATAAATGCATATAGGAAGGAAATAAATTTTAACTAGGAAGGTACAGTCTTCAGTCTTAGAATCAGAGAACATTCCATGAAAGAAATTATAATACACTAATTGGGGGAAATTTGAAGCCACTCTGAATGTAAAAGAGGAGACTAAGCTGTTTGAAAACTGTGTGGTTTTGTCTTCAGATTTAAAATTGTGGTGATCTGATCCTCCAATGACAACTGCAGGTCACCCATAGCATTATCCTGAACAGGAAAAAAAATGGCCATAAGCTCTACTTGGCAAATGAGATACCAATGAAGGACTCATTGACCTCTGAGTAAGAGACATAGTGGGTTCTTCATGTGATCATGTGAGATCTCTAAAATAGGAGGTGAATTTAACAAAGCTGTAACTGGAACAAAATGCAGACTGTTAGCAAGAATCATTCCAGGTCTAGAAACAGGTCCAGTAGATTCATCTGGTATGTCAAACTTTGGCTGCTGCAAGATCAGCCCCTCTTTAACTGAACGTTATTTTCCAATGGGATGCATTGGTATTGGGGTAACAGTTTCCTTTGGTTTGGTTTGGTTTTCTCTTCTATGTCCACAGTAAATCACAGTGTAGCAGAGGTGTTTATTGTTTTTTATGATTATTGCTAATTTGTGTGGAATCTAAAGACATTAGACCAATCAATGGTTCTATTGTTACATGTTATCAACAGTGTTTATGTTAATCTGACCTTCTCAATATTTCTTTCCTGCTCCAAAGGAATTAATTAATCTAGCTTCCAGAGCCACATCTGTAATCTTACCTTGTGTAGCTCTCTCTAGATGTTTATGTAAACTATACTTTGTCAGGAATGATGCTACCATTGAATGCTTGCAGTTATGATCAACATTGCCCTCAAAAGGAACAGCCTGATCTTGTGAGGATAAATGAAAAAGTCAGCTTTTTAACGTTGTGAAATAGACAAAGCAGAAATATTTTAAAAATATTCCAAAAAGGTTTCATTTTAAATAGCATACCAGGAATTGTAGAATGGTTGTATGTCAGCAACATTCTCTAACATCAGTTCTACTTGATAGCAATTCAGGCATTAATAGCTCAATCAAATTATATTGGCAGTGGAGCTAACTGAAGAACAGAATAATCCACCAATATTCTATTGAGAATAATCTGTAAGATAAATTTGAAGTATAAGATTATTCTTAGTTATACTGTCACTTTAGTTTGAAATATATTATTCATAGTGACATTCTTACAGAGAGAGTACTCTCTCTGTACTCAAATATCCCTTTTATGAAGACTGGAATTAAAATGATTCTCCAGGCTAATTTTGAACTACATTTTTATTAGTATTTGGAGTTTCTACAAATGCTGCTAATTTATCTATGGACTTGAGCAAATGAAAGTTGATTCTTTTTTTATTTATTGATGTTAAATGCTTGAACATTGAAAATTGAAATTTCAATCTGTGCAGTCAATAAACATTGCCTGAATACACAATCTGTTATATTTTCATTTATGGGTTTCACATCCTGTCTGTCCTTCACAAGAAGTATGTTTGCTGAGGGAACAGCAGCAACTTCATAGGGAGAAGCTAGTGAAATCAGAGATCCATTCTGTTAATCTAATTCCTCCCAATGGGAAGAGGATAACCAGAATATAAACCATATTGCTGTACAGCTCCAGTAAACTTTGTAATATTAGTTATCCAAAATACTCACAGTATCATCAGCATATAGAGACAGTTTGTATTTGGTATCCACTATTGCAACAACTTTAATATTATGAGACAGTCTAATGGTTCAAGAATAAAGTTAAGAATTAGAGAAGATATGAGAATCCATGAAAGATACCACAATATTACTTGACAGATTCAAAAATAAATTCTTTTGCAATAACTCTACCCACTGGGTAAAGATACTAAACTCTAATCTCATGTACAGAAAAATGGCAGAAACATATATCTTCTCCAAACACACTTGATAAACTCAATCTGAACCATATCAAAGGGCTTTTCACCATTTAAATTAAAACATCCAATTCTAGCTTATCACTCACCAAACAAATATTATCAGATATCTGTCTATATTTTATAAATCGAGACTGAACTGGGTGAATTATGGATGATAATACATCCTGCAATCTCCACATTATGCAACAGTAGTATATGTGTGGGAGGGTCTTTCTCCGTCTTTAATATTATTGTAAGATAAGCGTCATAGAACATAGAAGAGAGCGTAGTAAGATTAAATAACTCATTGTAAACCTCTAATAATATAGGTGCCAGTAAGTCTATGGAGGTTCCATAGCCCTTGACTGGAAAGCCATCAGGCTTAGGGGCTTTCCTGAGTTTCATAGATTGGAATTTCTCTATGAGTTCATGCAATGACAGTGGTTGTACTGGTTTATTTTTATGTTCTTGAGTGACCTGTTCCATGTGAGTATTTTGAAATGGAAATCCACATTCAACATTATAGCAATGTGGGTGCTGTGTGATGGGGATAGGAAGGATGGACTCTGTTTTTGGAGTTGGCCATCACAGGGCCTTTCTTCCTCTTTTTGTACAGACTTCTCCATGGCTATTACTGCTACCATCCAGCTGCTGTGGGAGGAACTGGAGAATCCCTCCTATACTTGTCCATGGGGGGGGGGTGTCAAAAAGTCAGGATGGCAGCTATGAGTGCATTAAGCCCTGCCCCATTTTATGCATATCCCACAACACGTGCAAAAGGGGTCATGGCTTTAAGCAGTTGTGACCACCATCTTTCCTTTTTTGACTCCCCCCCACTACTGATCCCCCCACAGCACCAACACCTACCTGATACAGTGCCGCTGATACTGTAATAAAATCCGTTTCTCTGTGGATGAAGTCATACATTGTTCTCAACAGATTACTTTCAGTGATTTCAGAGTAAATCCCATGTGTAATTTGGCCCTGAAAGGCCAGTACTATTTGACTTGTCAGCTGCCTACCAACAGGCAAAACTCAGTCTTTAAGAACTTGTTTATTCTGAGCAGAGGTTGCTTTGATGTGTGTCCAGTGTAAATGGAATCCTTCTTAATTATCATTTAGGACAGCATAATGCATTATCCCTGCTTTTCAAATCAGGAAGGACACAACTTCTTTAAAACGTAGTATGTAAGTCTATTCCAGGAGGGTACTAGCATATTTGAAAGAGAATAGAAGCTCTTAGTCCTTGAAAAACAGAATGAAAGCTTTACTCTTATCCAAATCAGGATTTAAACAGTGGAAGTTTCTAAACTAAATGAAGTACTTCTAGACATTTAATAAACCTGGAGGAAAAATAAAAACTAGCAGGTATCTGCAGCAAAAAAAGTCTTAAGCCGTGAAGGGCTATAAACCAAATTGGGGCGGGTTGAAAGGGGAACGGAGGTGCGGGGTTATGCAACGGAATCATTGCCTTTTTTCAACACACAAGGGGAGGATTTGGGAAGTAAGAGCAAAGCCCGGACTGGATTTTTGCAAATCGCTGTAAATTTGTGATTTGTAAAACAAAGCATAGTAGATCAATGAGCAAAGTTTCCCGTGTTCAGAAATCCAGCTCGACTTTTTGTTGTGACTTGGGAAGAACTTGTATACTTCTAGTTCGCTGCAGGGGGCGGTCTTCTTTCAGTTGTATACACACACACACACAGACACACACACGCGCGCGCGCGCCTGGTAGAACGCGGGACGGGGCGTCTTCAGGGAACATGATCGTCCAGGGCAGAAGCGCTTTGCTGCAGAAAATCGTCTGTAGCTGTAGCTGCCTCAGTCGGGGATCAACAGGCGGGCTCGAGTGCCTCACCCGGCCAAGCAAAGCGCTTGCTGTGGTGCGCTTTCTGAGCTCCTGGGCGGGGGGTGTTCCTCAAACTCGCCCCCTCCAGTTAGCCAGCCATTTCGCCTCCCAGGCAGCCGCGCCTGCTGCTGGTGACTATGACACGGTTTTCAAGAAGTCGGTGGAGGAGCCGGATCAACTTTGGGCCGAAGCGGCTCAAAGCATCACGTGGCACAAGCCGTGGACTAAAACCATGGAAAGGAAAGATCCCTTTAGCACCTCTTGGTGAGTGGTTGAGGACGCTCGCTTAACTCTTACTGTGGCGACATCATAAAAGGGAGCGCCATAATGATGCCCGGGTTTACTTTCTTCAGCTCGCTGTGCCTGTCAGAATTCAACTGGGGAAGCTTACTGCCCATTCTTGAGTCCCCGTTTTTGGGAAAAACGACCCATATGTGGAGTTTCTGCTGACCACACAGCTGTTAAGGCACGATATCATGTCAGGAAAAGGTGGCACCATTAAAAAAAAAAGTCAGAATAAGTATCAGCCATAGGATATGTCGGAGTTGAGTCCCGTTTTTAAAGATTTGCTGGGTTCGCAAATTGTGTGAAAACGTGTCCTGTTGAAAAAGCTGTAATGGCTGCATTTCCAGTATATACTATGTTGAAAGCCTCCTCTCCTCCCATTGCATTATAGTAAGGGCAGTACATAAATCCAGTACACCAAATTCTTATGCACTTCAGTAGAGAATTAACATGTATCATATGCATAAGATTAGACATATGTATACTGTGTTGTAATTAGTCAGGTGTGAAATGAAAGATGATCTAAACCAGTGGTTCCCAGCTTAGTGCTCTCTGGAGGTGTTTATAACACTGATCATCTGACAGCCAGAAGATCACCCAAGAAAAGCTTGGTCTGCTATTCCTCCCGTGGGGTAATTTGTCCTTATAATACTGACTCAATGAACATTTGTAATTGTAGGAAACCTGTGGAAATTAAAAGTAGTTACACTGTGGATGTTGTCAGTATTTGTTGTTGTTGTTTTTTGCACAGCCAAGCCTAAAAAACTGGTTTGTCCTGCTTTCGGTAACACTGTAATGGTCTTGCTGGCTAGAGAAGATGGGAAGAATTAGGGTAGGGGAAGCTGTCCTAAAGTTTTGACCTTTCCAATTACGGACAAGAACAGAGCTTCATTAACCTGAACAAATATTTCTCCTATATTGGCACTGAGTAAAATAGGTTGAGTGTACTAGCTTGCTGGCATTTTGATATTGAATTAATGAGTATTAGGAAATGATTTTAATAGGTGATTTGTGGAGTATTGTTGCAATTAGTATGACTGCAGGTTTGCCCTTTCTTGGAAATGTAATTTTGTGTTGGCAATTGTAACAGCCTAATTGTGTCAGCAACTTCTGTGTTGACAGAGATTAAAGTAAAAAATCCCACTACTGACCTGGGACTTGCTGAAAGCCTTATCATACATTCTGTTTTGCCATTTGAATGTGAAGCGAGGAATAATGTCCAAAAGTTATTGTATGCACTAGTCCTAAGATGTTACATTTTCTTTATTTCTGAATCTCTTTAACTCCAGCTGTTATGTAGGTATTGACTCCTGTTTCACAGGATAAATAGTGCTCGAATCATTAGTAATTTTTTATTTTTTAGTGCCTTTGAGTCAGTGTTGACTCCTGGTGACTGCCTGGACAAGTTCCTGCAGTTTTCTTGGCAAGA